AAAAGTCACTAAATGACATCTTACGTAAATAATCTTACCTGATTCTGATACTGGCTGAAAGGCCATCCTCACTGCATGTGAAAATTCCCCCATATCTTGTTTAGCACAAACAATTAAGAACCAGACGATACTTCTTATCTTCACACGCGTCATAATTTTCTGGAGACTTCTCTTTCAGCATAGTGCCTCCCTATGTTCGCAGTCAGTACATGCTCTCTGTCGTTAAGGCACTTACAGAAATGATCACTCTGCTAGTGATTCCAGGGCCAGTGAGCTGACACATTTCTAGGCACCAAGTGTATATTTGGAGACAAAATAAAGTCAAAGAGAGTCAGAATTGATCTACCCAATTTGAACTGGAGGTAAAAATAAATACAAAAAATATAGAAATTGTTGTTCTTTGTGAGCTTTGTGTTCTTCAGAGGCATGGCCAGAAACTCAAAACAGTATCAAAAATGTACTGTACTCCAAATTAGTTTTTATGGTGTTTCAGAACTGAATAAAAACTGAGTGTCATTTGAAAACTTTCTTTTGTGGTAGATTTTGAAAATTATATTTAAAAATGTATAAACAACATTTTAAGTCGTACTATTTCTACAACACAACGATATTTTTTCTCATTCATTTTAGGGTATGTATGTCCAAAATGCAGCCATGATGCATCGGTTCCAGGACACACATTTGTAGATATCGTCATCTGACAATGACAACCTTGCTTTAAAAGAAGAGGCTTTATTTTATTTTATTTTTTCTTAAAGCAGCAAAGTCAATGTTCCATTTATATGGATAGGAAAGAAGGAAAATTTTCTGAATTGTGATAACATAACTTTAAAGAAGCTTGTGTTCCTACTTGTCATGTATACACTTGAGTATGGTGCTGTGCAGGAGCCAGGTTATAACTGTTTACTTTGTAGCCAATGAAAGTAGTATCTCAAGACCTCTCTGAAAATCTAAAGGAAAATTGCAGTTTCTTTTTGCTTGGAAATATTAAAAGTCCCTCGAGGAAAATGCACAGGTTAAATGAAAAGGTTTGGATTAAGTTTACATAACAAAATGAAAAACATCAGTCATCCCTTGAAGAACTTAAATGTGAAAATATCATGCTATGTTCCCTACTCAAAAAAAGCAGTGATAACCAGGCCGTTCAATTACATAAAATTATAAAATGAATGAACATGTTTACCTAGATGCAAAGGGTCACTGAAACGTCTGAAAAAGCCCTGCAAACAGACTTTGTCGTCCACCATATATAAATCAGGCAAAATTATGATTTCAGTACCTTTTTATACTGAGAAGTCAGTTCATACGTCTTCCCCAGTCTTTGGAAGTATGTGCTAGTAAAAGCAATGCTCTTGATTCACACTTATTTCATCTCTAGGTATTCCTAGTCTTTATACCCAAAGACTGGCTAATGCATGCCTACCATGTTATAATCTTTCTTTGATTGGTGCTTGAGAAGTGAGTACCCTCAACTTTCAACATACTATAACTTACTGACCACTAAATTCTTGTCGCTCCAAAAACATTACATAATTTTGGAATATGTGTATATTATGAATGTTTTATATATATATATATATATATATATATATATATATATGTGTGTGTGTGTGTGTGTGTGTGTGTGTGTACATACAGCATGCATATTTGAATCCAAATTAAAATTATGTATTTATACACATTCATTTTATCCCACTTAAATAGATTTGGCTAATTTTAATGAAAATAAATTCAGCCGGGAGCATCTCATATCTATTAGAATTTCAGTGCAGATACAGTCATGACTAATAAATCATTCAAAATTTTAAACTACAAGTGAATTAGATATTTAATGAAAAAACATTACATTTTTGCAAAATGCTTGTACGATCCATAACTACATTGTACGTTGGCATGAAGTCTATGTTTCATCTGGGTTACCCATGATTTTAGATAAAATTCTCTATTATATAATCAAATTGTCTTATTTTGCTTCTTTACCCCCCAACCCACGTAATCATGTAATCATTAGCATTAGGAAGATAAATATCATGTTACAAATTAGAATTAACAATAACCCTTCCCAGGTGTTGCATAAACTGGAAAGCAGAAGGTTTGAGATTCATGTAAATTGTCTCTTTAAATCTAAATTTTTATCCTGTTAGATAGCACTGAGAACCTGTTTTGGGAATATACTCTAAGTTGATTTAATACACTGACATTAAAAGAGATGGATTGATATTATTTCAATGTGTTATTAGCCTAACAGGAAGTTCAAATTAACTTTCAAATTTCTAAGGCATTCCTCATTTTATTTATTAATCTCACAGCTCATTTTGCAAACACGATTAGGAGAAGCTACCATTTCCTACTTTTACTTTTGTTATGATCAAGTTTGATATGCATACCTTAAAAAGTAAATAGCATGTTTTCTCCGTTTTTTTAAAAAAACTTATTACAACCACCTGATAATTTAACCTGCTAGAATAGCTAACATCTTCTGTGGAGATATAAGGTTCACAACTAATATTGACAACTATCCTTGCAGTACTTTAGGATTTCCCTTCTGTAATTTCAATCTTTAGTTTTGTTAAAAAAATACCTTAAATTATAATTATCATATCTAAAGCAATACTAAGACTTTCTAAGTCATCATCTTAAAGCGTGAAAAATGAAGACTGTATGAAATTGTGACCATAAATTTTCTAAATCACTTTAAGTCTTCAATCTGTACCTTACATGTTACAATTAATTATGACTTGCAGCATATAAATGCTCAAATTTTCAGAAGTACATGAAAAAATCCACACTCAAAAGCATCTCTGTACATGATATTGATATAATTAATATTTTAGAGAGTCATACAAATAAATGTCACAAATCAAGCCCAAACTTTCACATTTCCCCAATACGATGGAAAAACAAGCAAACATAATCTTATTTTGTCCACACGCATAACTACTTCTTTCCTTTTTGTACGTCTTTTCATGTCTAAACTTGTTAACTCAGTAGCGCACACACACGAGGTAATTAAGTGGTTATCCTTTCGTCCTTGTAACTGAAAAATGTCACCTCTGAAAAGTCATACATTTCAGCAGGGACGTTACGTTTTTAAGAAGTCACTTAGGTGTTAAAGCTTTGGGGGAAATGTCCTGTGTATGTGTGTGTATGTGAGAATGAGTATGTATGGTGTGGTGTGGTGTGGTGTGGTGTGTGTGTGTGTGTGTGTGTGTGTGTGTGTGTGTCCGTGCATATGTGCATGAAGTCTGCTAAATGAGGTGAGATAACCAGCTAGAATGGAAAATGGTTTTGGAAATAATATACAATATTAATATTAATCAATAAACAAATCAGTATCACTGATGGCACGTGAAGTCAGCTCTTTTCTAAGTTTGTGTAGAAACTTACACATTAATTGCAGTGATTGATAGCGACTACCTGGGTTACCCAGTATGGAAGGTGAGATGGACTTAAGAAGGAAGGTCTTCTCTTTTTATCTCAAATAGACATCTAGAAAAAAATACGACTTGGCATTTCTCCTGATAAATCAAAAAGATTTATCTTGTTACGAGCATCTGCTGCCTTCGCTCTGCTCATGTTTTCCTGTTACACATAACTGGGTATTTCTCTTCACTCCCTCCCAGCTGACAGCAATCGCTTATCAGTCTCTAAGGAATAATAGGAAAACAAAGCTTAGATCAGAGATGATGGAATTAGAGATTGCAGAAGCTATTGTCAAGGTCTGTCTAACAAGTATGATGTACTTGACCTATTATTCTGACAGTTATGGAAGTTGTTGTTCCAATATCTATCTTTTAACAAGATGTGAGAAAAGTAAGGTTTTCTCCCCCTTAAGATCTTTTAAATCTAAGGCTCCCTTCTTTCCATTACTTCCTAAACTTTCTTCTAGCCCAAGAGGATTCTGTCAACTGAGCCTACATCTATCCTCAGAAGACAGCATGGAAATTGCAGAAACATCATTTCACAGCCACTAAATATTTTCATGTTAAAAGAAAGTATGTGTGAATGTAGCCTAAAAAGAGGTAAAACGGAATTTCATACGCAAAAGTAGCTTTAACACAAAGTTAAACATCCTGTGTTTCACCAAAGGGTTAACATCAGGGAAGTGAACATCAACATGCACAGGAAAGCTAACCAGATTAGCAACCTTAAAGTAAAATCTCCTTAATTCTGCTGTCACTTGCAGATGCTTTGAAACTTCCCATGTTTTCAGCCCTCCCACTATAAGGGCTACCAGGACAAACCTCAGGAGAGCACTGATCTAGTTTTAATTTTATAAACTCAAGAAGCCCTCAAAGTTCAGACAGTGATGTGCTATCCCAAACTGTCAGCCTCATAGGACACAGATGCAAAACAAGAAGAGTCACATAGCTGGCACTGGAGAGCGGCAGCAATTAAGCAGTTGAAAGTGGGTTGGAGTGTTGGTTTATTTTTGTTCCATTTGTAGCCTCTTGTAAGGAGGAGATAGAGTCAAACTTGACACTTCCTTTCTGAGAGCAAGAGCTGGGCTCCTGGTCTACTCTCATTCAGTTTAATCCCCTCTGAGGTTTCATTGCTTCCTGGACTCATATTTTCACAGGGGTTGCGTTCTATCCTGCCCTCCAACAGAGAGAAATCTTCCTCTCTTCTTCACTGCCCTTCTTCCTTGTAAGAAAGACAATCTCCCCGGGGTGGGGATGGGGGTAGGGGTAAAACAAAACCCTCCGCTGGCTTAGAATGGGAGGAAGGGGAGGAGAGAGGAGGGGGTTGGGGAGAGAATGGAAGAAGCAAAAAGATGGGGGATGCCCAACATTAACTCCTGGTTCTGAATCACCAGCCCCGTGCAAAGTGCTTTTCCGGGAGATGCACTTGTGCTCTCGCATTTCTCACAATAGGCTTACTGGGGGAATCCCTCCCTAGGTCTCCCACCGCCACAAACCAAGTGCACATGGGTCTTTCTGACAGATTCAAGCGCTGAGGTACCACCGGGGTGGCCGCGCTGCCAGCTGGGGCTGCCTTACCTGAAGCGAGGACCGGGAGCTGGTGCTGGTCTTGGTCCCCACTGCTCTCGCCGCGGACCGGTGCGAGGCACGCGAGTACTCTCGCTGCCTCTGCTCTCTCAGAGGGGCAGCCTGCAACACAAAAGGGGTGTGTGGGTGTGGGTGTGGGTGAGGTTTTCTAGGGCCACCAGCTGGTCCCAGCTGGCCGCCCCCACCCTACACACACCCCTTCGGGGCGCTGAGCACCCTGCCGGACCAGCAGGACCCTGGGGGCTTGCCCCAGGTACGGCTTCAAGTTGCCCACTGCCAACTGCGGATGCGGCGGCTGCAGGAGGAGGAGGAGGAGAGACACTGGGGGCTGAACTCGGTCAGAGCATCCCCACACTGCAGCTTCTCCAGGAATCCCTCCAGTGAGGAGGCGGCCGCCCATCATCTCCCAGCACCGGCTGTTGATTGGTTCCCACCACGGTACGCTGCTCGGAGAAGCCAATCAGGGGACACTAATAATAGGTGGATCCTCTCAGGCAACGGAGCCCAGCCCAGTGCTGGTAGTGTCTCTCCATCCCCACAGCGGACAGCGACCTGAAAAGAGGGGCTCAAGAGCGTGGCGGGGGTAGGCTGAACTAAGAGGGGACCAGATCTCAAGGAGAAACACTGAAAGATATTTTCTAAGCCGGGTGGGCAGACTGGATGGCCACAACCTGTTCAGTAAGCCATATGCACAGGATAAGGAGCAAGCATAATACAAAGCTTTTTTTTTTTTTTTTTTCTTTATACTTTCAATCAAAACCTGCCCTGATTCTGAGCATGCCCAGACGGCCACAGCACCCTCGGAGTTTTGATATGTGTGAGTTGTAGGTTGGAAAGGTGGGAGCTGGGACGGGAGAGAGGCAGAAGTTTGTCTTTGGCCCTCTGACCCGGCGGAGTTGAGGAAACAGGGCCGACCGAGACAGAGGTCCTTCTTGCTTTGGGAGACCAGTCACATCCTTCCGCCTGAACACGAGTGGAAAGCCGGGCTCTGGTCATGTCAGTGCAGCTAGATGCCTGGAGACTGCCCTGGAAGGGTGTGGTGGGCCAGAGACGTAGGCGAGGTCCGTCCCGTAGGTGGGGCGGAGGAGCGCGGCTCCACCCAGCTGCAGCTGCCAGGCAGCGGAGTGCCCTGGGAGTTTACGTGCAGCGACCAATAAGTTTGGAGACTTGGGTCAAGTGCGACCTTGTTAGACATGCTTTTTCCATCTTCTTGTGCTTGTGCTCGCCCCCGCCCCCACCTCTCTCCAGTGCGGTGAGGGCTAAAGGGCTTTCTCCCTCCTTCTCTTCCTAGTGGAACCCTTCTGCTCCGAAGTAAGAAGCTTTTCCCCTGTGCGGGCAGTGGTGACCTGATTGTCTCTAAGCTCCCGGGCAATTTATAGCTTGGTAATACCGAGAGATGCCAAACAGAGAGATTGAGAGGCTCGGTGGGGAGGGCGGGCTGCCCGGCCCCTGGGACAGCCCAGCCCCGGAGGGCAGGAGCCCTCACTACTCCACAGGTTTTCATGACACTAAAAGGGATGTTCCTTTCTCACTCACTTGACCTTGCTCAGTGCTCTCTGAACCTCTTGTTTAGCTTAGAGATCCTAGCAGTTTGTGTAAAGTTGATCAATAGGCACAAATGAGAACTCCCCTAATTGGGCTCTTTATTTTCCTGACAGGATGACCGTGGCTTCTCAGGTAAGGAAATAAATAGGTATCTCAATTCCCCAAACTCATCCACTTTGAACTGGAGTTTTATTAACACTGGTGTGCAAAGGTAACTGTAGCGAGAATTCAATTAACGGTAACACATTTCTTCAGGTTTTTTAATTAAATCTCTTCTATTTATATAATGTTTAAGATTAAGAACCTTATTCTAAATATCCAGCGAGAGAAGACAACCTTCCAATAAATCTATACTTCTGGGACACAAATGCCTGTGTTTGGGGCTCTCCCTGTTTTCTTTATCAAGAACCTAGAATGAGGGGTAAACTGGGAAAAGAACACACCTCCAAACTGTAACTTCATGTAAATATCCACCATTTGTTTTCCAAAATAGTTCCAGTCTTATTTGAAAATACTTTCAAAGGTGAAAAAAGAGATAGTAAGCATTATAAATTGAATTTAAATGTTTGGTCAAGGAGAGAAGGAACAGGAAAATGAGGGGGAAGGGATAGGGTTAGTGCAAGAGGAGACAGAAGAATCAGGTATCTGTGTGCTCCAATAAAGATGAATGCATGACAGAATTATTGTAATATCCACCTAATAGAAATTTTTATTCTAAAAAAATGCTTATCTCTCTCTTTAGGTTTTTAAGTTAAAAACGACATGTTTACCTCATTATGAGCAGCAGCCTATAGAGAAAGGAAGAAAGAGTATATCAATGAATAGAAGAGAATTACAGAATTTTTGAATTTCTGTTGCAGACCCTGATTCTATCATCATTTTAGCCATTTTTTTTTCCTCTCCACCTCATACCCTACCCAATATGGTTCTTCAGAGGGCAGGAATATGCCAGGCTTCTCCCCAGTGTTTTCTGAAGGAGACTGCTCTCTGTAGTAAGAAATGAGCTTTGGGCACAGTTAAACTGTACTTAATTTTAGAGTTAATAGCATTTTTACTTATCAATATTAAGAAGATTATTTGCATGCTGACACTGGATACAAAGTAGCTCTTTGGAGGACTGAAGTTTTTCATTTTTGTTTTTTTCCTCCCTCCTATTTGTATATCCTTGTCAACATTTCAACATTCAGGAATTCACAGAAGACCTTGCCTGGCCCTATTTGGTTGGTATAACACTACTGTTTTTGTTGTTCTTGTACACATGCTTAGGGAAGCTAGGGGATGGCCTGGTTATTATCTTCAGGAATACTCCTCATCCTCAGGAATGCCATCCACCCTCCTTGGGGCAGGATCTCCCTTTGGCTCTGAACTCACCAATTAAGTTACACTTGCTGGCCATTGCCTCTCCAGTGCTAAGATTATGACTGCATGCACCATCACACCTGGCTTTTATATGCGTCTGAGGATTAAACTCTGGTCCTAATGCTTGCCAAGCCTTTTACTGAGCATATTCTTAGTCCCAAGTATATTTCTATTGAAGACACTGTGTATGCTTTCTTATCTTCATATCATACTGCTCTTTGTTTAAAAGAAAGATATGTTCAATAAACTTGTTTCATTCTTTCAACTTTCTTTAGACCATTTACAGGCACTTTTGTATTTAGGATTCCTATCTCCTTTACCATCAGCTCATTTCCTGACTGTACAGTGTTGATTCTTTTCTTAATTACTTGTTATTTTCAGAACTGTTTCCATGTTGAATGTTTTGCTTTTTTTATGCACAAATTCCTCTTTTTATTAATTAAAAAACTTTTTTATAACCTCTGTGTCAGTGCCAAAATTCCCCTTATTTTTTTTCTCATGAATTCCTCTGTTTCCTATTTTAATGATTTCTTTGTCATCTATTTTAGCTTATGAAATCAGAATAGAAACTGAACTGTACTGGAGGCAGAGGAGAGAGTTGAGTGTTATGGGAAGAGAGGGAACTAGGAAGTTTAGAAACTAGAAATTCATTAAGCACAAACTGAGCCAAGATTTTCTGTGGGCCACAGAAAATACTTGCATGAGAGAGATATCAATAAAATTTACATTTTGGTGAAAAGGCTGTTATAGCCGACTGATAGATAGTACATATGTTTACAGTTTTCATTAGGACTCTCACATATCATTAAACCTTACATCCTTAATTGTTTTAAAAAAACTATCCAAAAAAATCATTACCCAGAGGGATGAAAAATGAAAAATAACCAACTCTTCCAATTTTGTCATTCTTTATATAGATTCAAAGCTTGTTCTTTTCGCTTTTTTTTCTGCCATTGTTTCTTAAGATACTGAGTCCCCCATCTCCTTGGGTTTTTCTTTTTAAGATAGGGGATTGAATAAGAATTTGTTTTCTAGTCTGAGAATTTAGTAGAATCTGAGCCTCACAACTAATTGGCTGTGTGACCTTGAAAGATGTGCAAAACCTCTCCAAGCATTGGGTTTCTTATTTCTCATGTGTATATAATGTATGTACATAACATCTACCTTTAGGGATTTTGTAAAGATTAAGAAAAACAGTTCATGCTAATTCCCACAACCTCACAAGGTCATAAGGTCTACTAACCTTTTTAATTACTTTATCATTATATTGTTCTTATTCTTTCTCCCCCAGGTTCCTGAAAGAGTGGATTTTCTGTCATTGTTTCATCTATATAAGCCAGTATGAGAAGCACTCTTGGCCTAAATTTGAAAACTTATAAGGACTTAGTAATTGGGGGATGAAGAGATGTCTTGGCCAAAAAGAGTTGGCTTGGAACAGATCCAGATTCAGGTCCTAGCATCAAACTCAGGCAGCTCACAACTGCCTATTACTCTAGTTCCAGAGGATATAACACCCTCTCTTGGCCTCCATGGGTGCCTACTTGTGTTTGGTATACACACTGTTAGGCAGGCACATACATCTAAATAATAAATACTGAAAGAATGAACAAACCAGAGACGGAAAGAAAACCAACTTCTGTATGAAGATATGAACAGCTTCCTGTCTTTTGTGTTGCTCATAGGCTGTATCCTTCCAGGAGATGAATTATAACTGAACTTGTGGAGAAGATGAGCTTCATCATTTTTTTTTTTGATGTTGAAATTTAGTTTGAATTAGTTTTTCAAACTAAGAGACATCCTATGCTAAGGATGAAATAATTGATGAACACTATTTTTCTTTTCTTTTCTCTCTCTCTCTCTCTCTCTCTCTCTCTCTCTCTCTCTTTTAACAGTAGTATTTAGTGTTTCCCTAGGTCCCTGAGCTATGTAGTCTCAGGTCTTTGGTCACACAAGGAGTGTTGGGTATGGGTTCCGTCTTATGAAATGAGCCTTAAGTCAAACCAGATATTGATTGGTTACTCCCAAAAGCATTGTAATACCATTGTCTTCCAGATAGGACACCATTGTAGATCAAAGGCTTTGTGGCTAGGCTGGTGCTTACATTTCTCCTTTGGTAGGCTGCAGAGTAACTTCCTGTACCAAACATGCTAGTATGTAGGTATTGAAGGTTCTATGTAGCTACCAGCTCTCAATTTCCCCATGGTTATATAAGTGTTGATTCATAAATAGGGACTTGCTGTCAGTATGTGAGGAACAACATATAGTCTTGGCAAAGCCTGGGTTGTTTGGGAATTCCCTTTGACCAACAGCCCAATTAAATGTGACTCAATCTCTGTACTGGAAGCTTTATTTGGTGCCGAGACATGTCCAGTGGGGGCTCTGTCTCCCTCATCATTTGGCCTTTCATTTAGATCTCTTTAAATATTTATTAATATATAACCTATTAAATATTAATATTGATATCC